CCTCTCAGTTGGAGAGGGGAGACCCAGTGAGCGAGCGCCAGTCCAACAAAGGCGCTCCCTCCCCGCGGGACCCGTCCCGCGCTGCTTTGCCTTTTGTTCTTTCTTTTTTCCTTTTCTCCCACCAGATTTTTGGCGTCTTTATCTTTTGAAGAGGGCGATGATCTGTTGGAGTTCCGCAGGTGCTCTGGTTGGCTGAGTGAGTCTGTAGATGTGGATCTTGGTGTATTTGTGGGAGAGGGTGACTTACAGGCGTCCTTCTACTCCGCCATCTTGCCTCTCCTGCCCCCAAACGTTTGTTAAATAAAATTATCCTGTGTTAGGGATGGGGGTAAGGGAACTCTAACTAAAGCAGAACTTTAATATCTATTTGCCTATCAATTTAGTAAGCACTTATTAAGTATCCATTAGTTACCAGATAAAGGAAAGATCTTTTCGCCACCATGATGACTTATGTCTAATCATACATAGTACATTCTTAGGGAGGGTGTTAGTTCTAGCTCCTAACTCGAGCATTATAAAGAAGTCCCTACTTAGAAAACATTGTTTTCCGTCTCGCGCTCTTGCTCTCTCTCTCTGTCTCTCTCTCTCACACACACACACAAACACACACTATGTTTTCATTTACTTTGTAATCTAATATTGAAAGTCTTACCAGCGACTAAATCAGCAAGAATAAGACTTGATCATTATTGTGTTTAATGTTGTAAGTCTGTTTCTAAAACAGCTCAACTTTAGTATTTAAAGATTTTTCTAAAATATAACTTATTCTTTCAGAAACTACTTTCCTAATATTTTATATATATTTCTTACAGGTGTCAAGAAATAAAATCAGAAGAAAGAAGTATGATTTTTGTGACAAAGTGCCCATGTGATGAATGTGTACCTTTAATTAAAGGTGCAGGTATAAAACAGATCTATGCAGGGGATGTAGATGTTGGAAAAAAGAAGGCAGATATCTCTTACATGAGATTTGGGGAACTTGAGGGTGTTAGCAAATTTACAGTAAGTAGACACACTTTTTTTCATAATATACTTTCTATTATGTTGTTAGGTACTGTGCTGTGTGTTTTAAATTAGTGATTCTCTCCCTTTTAAAGCATTTCAATAAAATATTATCATTGAGTTTATTTTTATATGTGAGCACTTGCCTAATTAGAAATGTTCAGGTTAGGATCTCTGCCTTATGAATATGTATCTCTAGAGAGTTGTACATTGACTTTAACAGAGCTTGAATTAGTTGGCCCTCTGGTGCCATCTCGTGGCTAGTAAAAGAATATCCCAGACCCACCATTTCCCTCACCCTTCTTTCTGGCTGGAAGTGGTGGATAGAGGGAGTTTAAGATTACCAAAAAGGAGGAGGGACACACACACACACACACATGTTTTTCAGGAGAAAAATTAGAAAGAATTTAATATTTGATATTTTTAAAAAGTGCTGAGGTAGTTGGTAGAAAACTTTAATTCTTTATACTTTTTTATGACCTAGGCTTTTGAAAAATACAGTTTTTTAAACTTGAGATTTTAGAAACAATCTCAAGCATACAGGAAAGCTACAAAAACACTACGAAGAACTTTGTTAAGTTGTTGCCATGATGCCAGATCACTGTTACATACTTTGTTGTGTATTTCCTCAAACAGCACGTTCTACATAACCACAGTACAAGCACAAAACTCAGGAAATTATCACTGATACATCACTACCATTTAATCCAGATTCCAGTCAGGATTTACCACTTGTCCCAGTAAAGTTCTGTATAGCAGAAGGATCCTGTCCAGAGTCATATGTTGCTTTTTAATGATAATTCTGGCATTTAATGTAACATATACTATAATTTGCAGTGGGTATAAAAGGCATATAGTAAAAGATACACGCACTCCAATGTTCATAGCAGCACTATTTACAATAGCCAAGGCATGAAAGCAACTTAAGTGTCCATCAGCAGATGTTTGGATAAGGAAGTTGTACTATATATTTAATAGAATACTACTCAGCCATAAAAAAAATGAATTAATGCCATTTGCAGCAATATGAATGGACCTAGAGATTATCATACTAAGTGAAGTCAGACAGACAGAGAAAGATGAATATTATATGATGTTGCTTTTATATATATATATATATATGGAAGCTAAAAATTTTTTTGAACAGATGAGCATTATGTGGACTCTAGCATTATTATTATTTTTAATGGAGGTACTGGGGACTGAACCCAGGACCTCATGCATGCTAAGCATGCAGTCTGCCACTGAGCTGTTTCCTTCCCCCTACCTAAGAATATATTTTACCAGCATAAACCCATGTCCATTTACTTGGAAACTACTTTTTTTTTCTTAATACACATAGATTTTTCTTTATTAGGTTATATTATTTTTTTATTATGAAAATAATACATGCTTATTATAGAGAACTAAGAAAATAAAAAAGAACAGATATTATCCCACAACTCTTAGGTACCATTAACATGTTGATGTATTTTCTATCTTAGAAAATTCTTCAGAAATAACTTTTAATAATTAGACAATATTCTAACCTATAGACATAACTTATTTAACCATTCTCCTGTTGTTGGAAATAGTCTTTTTATGATTATCCTTAAATGTAAATTCAGGGTTTACATATTTTATTTACATTAACTTTGCCCAAATTAATAGAGCTTAGGGGTTTGACATGTTTTGAAATATGCTTTTTAAAAAAATTTCATATATAATTTCATAAAAATTTCATCTATAATTCCCACTGCTTGTAAGTCCTCTTTTTCCTGGTGCTAGACCTAACCATCCCACAAGTATAGACTTATATAGTCTAGATGGCTTCTGTTTCCAGGGACTTTTTTATGCATGGTAAAATGTTTGTCTTCCATCTCATCCCCACTCAAGGCCCATAATATTAAATAATTAACCTGATGGGCTAATTAATGTTTATGGACAAGACTTTCAGGAATTGCACACTTAACTGTGTCTTTCTGGAGCTAGTGCCCTAGTGGGGCCTTTTTGGTTAAGTCTTTAGTGATTCTGATGGTAGGATTTCTAGCCAAGTAAGAAAGGAAGGGCTGTGCTACGAGGTGCTGAGCACACTCAGTTTTTCTTATCTGCTGCTCCAGTCTTCACTGTAATAGCTGAGAATCTTCAGCCTTCCCTATGTTTTTCTGAATGGTTGAGATAGAAAACTGTAATCAAAATAGATGTGATATGATATGATAAATGATGTGCTATGATATATAAATAATAGTATATCTTCTATGATACAACTATATTAAAAGGCAGGATAATCTTGGTCATATTTTCATTCTTTATAGCTGGGCCTTCTGCACCTACTGTAAGATTCTGTAGGACCTAGAGACAGAATACAATGTGGTGGAAGTTCTATAGCACTGGCCTGGGCAGACCCACGTTCTCATGCTATTGCTGTCTTTAGTCAGTGTGTGACCTCGGGCAAGTCACTGCATCTCTCTGGTCCTCCACTTCCTTACCTGTAAAACAAGTGAAAACAAAAGTGAAAGAGGATCTTTATACTCCCTTCCTTCTCTAAGACTATTAATTCTCATCCCCAAACTCAGAAAATTCAGGGTCATTCAGGGTTGTCATTAGGGTTTGGTTGGTATGAGTTGCCTACCCTTTTTTTGTACATTGTTTTAGCTATTTTGATATTTGAAAGCACAGTGTTGAAATACTATTTATTAAATCCTTCTTAAACATATAAATAAAATGTTTATGTCCTTTTACAGTGGCAACTGAATCCATCACGAACTTGTGTTCTTGAGCAAAATGAGCCTGAAAGTAGAGAGAGTAAGTATTTACAAGTCCTTTTATTGTGGTTGACTTTATTGCTAAGAAGAGATACATAGTGAATTATTATGGTCAGGTGTTGGAAATTGCTGTGGTTGTAGGTGGAGCATTTTCTTTTTGCAGATTAGATTTTTGCCATTCAGTTTGTTCACAAACGTTTGTGACTGCTGTATGCCAGGTGTCATGGAAAGTGCTGATTAATAACTAGTCCTATGGAATCTGCAGTTTAATACAATCATGTACAAATTGAATTTATCAATTAAATCTAGTATGAGACAGCAGACAACAGTCCTCTCCTATACCAGAACAAAAGCCTCTTGGGCAGTTAGGAAAAATATGTATAGTTAATACAGATGGATCTAGGGCCAAATTATGAGGATGGACACATTCTTATTAGAGTAAAGCCACATGTGCTCAGATTGGTGAGAGAAAGGAAATATTCTGGTTATTTGAATAATCTAATTAAGAGTCATCACAGTTATCATGAATGAATTACTGGTCTTCAGAGCTTTATTATTTGCATTATTAACACAGATTTTTTTTAACATTTTTTATTGATTTATAATCATTTTACAATGTTGTGAACACAGATATTTTTAATGTAATACAATCTTTGGGAGGTTCTATAATTCTTCAGACACATAATTTTGAACATAAATTATAGATGTGCAATATTATTTTAAAATATTAGATATGTTATCTCTGTTTGGATTCAAGGTAAGTGGAAGTTTAGTATAAGAAGTAAAATTTCTTGATGCTAATTTCATTACTCTGAAAAATCAGGAAATATGATTTCTTTATGAAAATAATTTCTATGTGATTATCTTTATTTTCTGTGTTCTGAGTTAGCTTTATATTATTTAAGTAGGATATTTTTCATTTGCATCCTGGAAAAAAATTCCGTCTTTTTAAAAATTTGTCAAGAAAAAAAAAAATAGGAAAAGAGAAGAAAGAAAAAAATATATGTATCTGATTAAAGAATTTATTCAGTAACATTCCCTGTTGTTAGGGAAAGGATACAAAAAGCACTAACTATAAAAAAATGAATTAAAAAAAGATGAATCAATTATGGTAAAATTAAGAATGTCTGTTCATCAAAAGATACCATTAAAAAAGTACAAAGGCAAGCCATGAAAGAGTAGATATTTGCTGCTTATAATCAAGATGGGGCTTTTAGCCAGGATTTATTGGTCCTAGATCACTAAGGAAGAAGACAGGTGGTGGTTGCAAGTTCTTAGATTGGAAGGAGGGGTCGTGATGGGGAGGGGACAAGAGGAAGGCTTTTGCTTTGCTGGCAATGTTTTATTTCTTGACCTGGGAGATAATTAAATGTATGTTTGCTTCATGACTGTTCATTGAACTGCAAATGTTTTGCATGTGTTTTTTAACACCTCTGTTGTGGTATAATTCCTGTTCAGTAAACTACACATATTTCAGATACACAATTTGATTAACTTTAATAGATGTATACACCTATGAAACCACCACCACAATCAGGATAGCGAATATTTCCATCACGCCCCAAGAGGTGCACATCTCCAACTGCTGATTTATCCCTTCCCACCCTCCTTACCCCCAGTAACCATAAGTTTGTTCTCTACGTCTGTGAGTCTGTTTCTGTTTTGTAGGTAAGTTCATTAATGTTTTGTGTGTATTTTTTTAAACGAATGTTTTATATCATAAGTAATATCCCTATTTCTTTTTCAGTTTTATAAGAGTTTTCTTGAGGTATAATTATTGAGATGTATATCATAAATTTGCCCTGATAAAGTATAGAATTTAGTGGGGTTTTGTAGATTCACAGTTGTATCACCAGAGCCTAATTTCAGAACATTTTCATCATCTCAAAAGAAACCTCTTACCCATCGCAGTTATTCCTGTTTCCCCCACCTCCAGCCCCAGGCTACCACTAATCTACTTTGTGTTTATAGATTTGTATATTCTGGCAATTTCAAATAAGTGGAATCATACAGATGTAATTCCTTTTCAGTTTTGGATTCAGCTGGCAGACAGACACGCAGGAATCAAACAGATGAAAATTAAACAGCAGCTTTATTGCTAGACTGGGGCTTGCCCTCCCTCTGGTCTGTTCAGGCTTTAGAGCATTTGTCCTTCCTCACCTCTCCTACCTACCCACTCCCACCCCCAACCAAGTCTAGCGCTTGAAAAGAATACTCAAAGGAGAGCCTGTCCATCTCCAAGGGGACAGAATCTACAAAAACCAGTCCCATATGAATTAAAGACTTAAGTGGAAAAGGTAAATCTTTTTGCATTTTTTTATTGAGACAATTTTTTAGAGCAATTTTTAGTTACCAGAAAAATTGAGGGGAAGTTACAGAGAGGTCTCATATACCTGTTGCCCCTACACATGCACAGCCTCCTCCATGATCAGCACTCCTTACCAGAGTGCTACATTTGTTGTAATTAATGAACCTACATTGTCACATCATAGTCACCCAGAGTTCACAGTTTACAGTTACGGTTCACTCTTGATGAACATTCTGTGGGTTTGGATAAATAAATAAATGATATGTTTCCATTATCATAGTAGCATACAGAGTGTCCGTTTTTGATAGAGTAGTGTTGAAGTCTTCAGCTGTGCTAATAGGTTCAACTATTTCTCTTTGCAATTCTAATTTTTTCCTCATGTAGTTTGACGCTCTTTGCTGTAATCTATATTGTTGCAGCAAAGTGTGTTACAGCTCAGTTGTGACAGCAACCTGGATCCTGGCAAGAGACCAAGCAGCACTTGGAGGGTTGGTGAACTCGGGTTTATTATGCCGGCGGGCCCAGAGGAGTCAACACTCCAAGCTCTGGACCCCATCTGTAGGTTTACACAGGCTTTTATAGGTTGCCAGTCTAGACTTTACAACATTATAGGCAAATAAGGTGTAACAAAGTGGACCAACCAGGAATGAGCTTTTTAGAAATGGACCAATCAGGAGTGATAGAAATGGACCAATCAGAAGTGAGCTTAGGGAACCAATACAATCTTAGGAGTAAGTTCTGCTTCCTAGAAGCAAGCCATTTTACAGAAGCACAGAAGGGAGATAGTGGCCCTTCCTGAGGGTCCTGCCAGTCTATTCATGGGGCTTCCCACCTCAATATGTTTTTATATTTAAAGTGAGTTTCTTGTAGACAACATACAGTTGAGTCCTTTTTTTGGGGATCCACTCTGACAGTCTGTTTTAATCGGTGCTTCTAGACCATTGATGTTCAGAGTGATTAATGATATAGTTAGATTAATAATTTGACATCTATCCTACTTGCTGTTCTCTGAGCAACCTGGATCTGTAGTTCAGTGTCTGGCATTAATTTGGGAGAATTCTCAGTCATCACTGTTTCAGTTACCTCTGTTCCTTCCTCTCTCTTCTGGTCTTCTCATTATGCATGCATTATGCCTTTTGTAGTTGCCCCATGGTCCTCAGATCTGTTCTGTTTTCTTTAGTCTTAGTTATCTTTGCTTTTCAGTTTTTGAGGATTCTGTTGATATATCCTCCATAAAAGAAAAGATTGAGAAATTAGGATACATTACATTTAAGTCCTTATCTTCTCCAAAAGGCAATATAAAGTGAAAAGACCAGCTGCCCACTGGAACAATGTGTTTTCCCTACATGACAATGAATTGGTTTCCAGAACATATGGAAAAGTCCTACAGATTGATAAGGAAAGTTCAACATTTAATAGAGAATGGTTAAAAGATAGTTGTAGGTATTTTCACAACAGAAGAGACACAAACATCTAATAAACACATGAAAAATACTCAAACTCATTAGCAGTCACGGAAATGCAAATTAAAACCATCTTGCAGCAATGTTTTACACCCGTATGGCTGCACCCATTACAGCTGCAAGATTAAAGCTTGCTAATACCAAGGGTTAGTGAGGAGGTGGATTGTTAGGAATTTTTGTATATTGCTGGGTGGACTGAAAATGTATACAACCACCTTGGGAAACAATTTAACGTTGTCTTTGTGAAACTGAATGTGCTCCAATATACTCCATGATCTGGTAATCTGTCTTCTAAGCATATGCCCTAGAAAAACTCTCCCTGATCCAGGTGCCCTTAAGATTGGGAAGACAGAGTAGAGCACACAGGCTTGGTGGGCAGGCGGGAAGCAGGGGGGCAAGAGGAAACTTCTGGAGGTGGTGGCTATGTTCATCATCTTGACTGTGGCGGTGGTTTCTCGGGTGTGTACTTATGTTGAAACTCATCAATTTTTTTTTTTTGGCTTTGGTTTTTGTTGTTGTTTTGGAATGGGGGTGATTAGGTTTATTTATTTATTTATTTATTTATTTATTATTGTTATTTTTTATTTAACTTGGCATGCTGGGGATCGAACCCATGACCTTGTGCCTGCTAGGCGTGCACTCTACCGCTGAGCTATACCCTCCCCCCGAAACGCTTCAAATTGTGCGCTTTAAACATGCACAGTTTATGTACCACTAAAACCATGGAAATCAAACGATAGGGAGAGGTTGAAGAGGCCCTTCTCCCACCTGACCGAGGAGATGGGTCTGTTTTCCTCCCAGCCCCACAGACTGCTCCCTCCTCTCCCTGGAGTATAAGTAGGTGCATTTTGTTTCCTCCAGTCTAATAATAATAATAACTTCCCCCCCCAAAAAAAAGTTTTATGAATTATTGGCTGTACGCAGTTGAATTAATCCAGTTTTTGAAAAAGGTTAGAGGTTTTTTTTTTTTTTTTTTCTTGAGCAGAAGCCATCTGTGCGTCCTCCTTGCTTGGCCCTGCAATAAACCTTTCTTTGCCCAAAAAGAAAAAAAGGTCAGATATTGTGTTACCAGAGTGAGTTGTCTTGAATCTGTTCCTCAACAGTTGAGAATTTCAAGATAAGATGAAATCAGTATTCCTTTTTAACTTAAGCATTATTTTGATCTTATGACCTCTGTGACTTTCACAAATACTCATGTATTTGAAGCGACGTTTTCCTGACGTTGGGTTGCTCTTGAACACTAGACGGTGTGCTGGGACCCGTGCCTCTGGATGAAGACCAGCACCAAAACAAGAAGCTGCGCCTTGCAAACCACTAAGAAGTCCTGTCTAAACTGGAGTGAAGGCCTCAAGACTTTTTATTGCACTTTTAAAAATCCAGCCTTGTTAATGCAGAAAACAAGGGTGGAGTTTGTGAATAATTGAAAAAAATTTTTAAAGGAAGCTAATTTATTACTAGCATATGAATGATATTAATGAGAATATTTTTATTTTAGATGTATTTGTGTGTTTTCCAGACTGTAGTGGTATGTTCCTTTATTACACCGAATGAGGTGTATCAGTCATTGATAAGACCAGTTTAATCCACCATAGGGATTGATTTCTCCTTGTCTTAGCTTTACATTAGCCATGTTGAAAGGGCTGGCTTACTGGAGTCACATCTCAGCAGAGAATTACACACCTTTTCAAAAGTATTAATTCCTTTGAATTATGGAGGTGATAATTAGTTAACTACTCCAGGGAAATAAATGGCAACCTGGCCATTTTTAAGTCAGTGTATGGCTCACCAAAAGTTGACATTTATACTGAAAGATTTCTAATAATCTGAATTTACTTAATTAGGATTGAGTCGCAAAAGTAAAGTTGGTAGACCTGGTCTCCGTTATAAAAGTATATTCCTAAGAAGGCTATTAATTTTTCTTCAGTCTTTTGCTATGTAGAAATCACAGTCATTTGTTGGACTGGGGTGTTATATCACTGATTTAAGGTAGCAATAGGAAGAGAAAATTATTCTGAGGCAGTATTACTATTTGGTATCACTGACTCTTGAAGTCACTAACAGTGAACCTCAAATTTGGTTACAATGTTAGCAGAAGAAGTAACTTAGTCTGGAATACTGAAGCTAGACTTTTTTGAATTTCATTCACAAATGCTGCCCATTATTCCCTCCATGGAATTAACACAGAGTGTCTCATGGCTGAATGGGAGGCCTTTTAAAAACATTCGCAAACCTTAAGAATACTGAAAGTTTTGAAAGTGAACATTATGGTCAAGTCAGTTATATTCCAGATTCTCTTCATGAGTCCTCTCATTTTTATTTGCTGAGAAACTTTCAGGAAATTAGTGCAAAGATGAAGCTACCTGTTTCGTACTTTGCTAGGGTTAGGGAGGGAGTTGCAGGGCCCGTGGCCCGCAGGCCTGGGGCGTGCTTCCCTGAGGACTGACGGCCCTGGCCACATGCAGGTGATCAGGCTCGCCTCTGCTGTTCCCTGTTCTTTCCATGGTATCCCATGGCATCACGAGGCCTCCTACCAGTTTCTCAGAATTGTACACAGGACAGTCCACATGGTGGCCTTGGACAGCAGCCTGCTTAGGTCCCCCGGTAGTTCAGTCATCATACCTGGCAGTTGAGAACTGCCATAAACTTTTCACCACAAGATGCAGGGCATGGAATAGAGGCTGGGGTGGGGTTGAGGGAGATGCCTTTACAGATAACTAAGGCTAAATTTGAAAACCAGTAGTTAAGCTATCCTTTAACATTTATCAATATGAAAATACTGAGGTTTGCTTAAGTTATGCTTAAATTTATCTTAGATGTGTTGTTTTTAACTGATATATCAACTACATCAAATATTTTGTAAATGAATCAGCAAATGTTTTATAAGGCCCAAAAGCCTGGTATACTACCAGATTTGCGGATTTAGGTGTTAGATGTTGGAGAATATCAGAAAGGAGAAACATACAGATGAGAAGAACTATGGTTAGGCAGTGGAAAATTGGCATTTTCCTAGCACTATTGAAGTGGTCATGATAATGCCATACTTCCTTCTGCACATCTGGTCAGATTTCAACATTTATTGAGAGTTTACTCTGTGATATCAGAAGGAAATCTCTCTGAGGGCAGAGATACATGTATATATATATAAATTTTTTAAACCACTGAATCCAGTGCCTATAACAGTGCCTGGCACATAACTGGCACTCAATAAATATTTGTTGATTGATTGCATGACTGCTGGACACTGGCTAGACCTTGGAAATGAGATGTGTGAGAAATGCTTCCAGATCTCAAGAAGCTCACGGTCTGGTGGAAGATACAAGCATGTAATCAAGTGATAGAGAATGCTTCTCAGTTGGGTCCCTGAACTAGCAGCATTAGCCTCACCTGGGGACTTGTTAGAAATGCAAATTCTCAGCACCACTGCTAGACTCAGGAGGCGGGGCCTGGCATCCCCCCAGGTGATTCTGATGACCCTCAAGGTTGAGAACAACCACCCTGTGGATGTAACTGCAGGAACAGAGTGGTGGCACAAAAGAGGACAAGCATACACTGTGGTGAGTCATGGAAAAAGGGGCTTCCAGAAGTGGAGATCCCGAAGAGGGTATGGGACATTGCCAGGCAAGCAGTGGCGGTGAGATGAACACCTGACGGAGAGTAATGGAGATAGATGTCACTCTGGGAGTAGGAAAGGGAAGTATCTGGGGGCCCGCACAGTGGTTGCTGAGCTGCACCAAGAGCCCCCGGGCAGCAGTGTTAGTCAAGTTCTAGTAATTCACAGTCTAGAGGCTTCATCCCTTAGCCTGAGAAATCAGAATTTGCACTTCAAAATGCATCATCTTTAATTTCAGAGATTGGGTGGGAGGAGAGTAGTAAATTCATAATTTGAAAAGAATTGCTCTGCATTTGTTTACTGCCACGTGACCACAGAATGTGCCGACAGGAGGCGGGGTGAGCGTGGGCCTGGCTGGCTCCGCGGCGGTCGGGCAGAGTGCACACGGTCTCTGCGTTGTCCGTTGTATCGCTGCCAAAGCTTTTGCTTTCATTCGACTTTTCTGTAGGTTTCTCTTCCTCAGTTACTTATTGAGTTTGAAAATAAACTTGCTCTCATAAATCTTCCTCATTTTATGCATGAACAGTTCAGCTTTCAGACCTGCCACAACAGTCTGCTTATGACCCTCTTTAGAGCAAGTGGCATTTTAAACACCAGTTTTTTAAAGCCCTGATGTTGCCAACAGTGGCCACTTAGCATTTGGCTGAGACTGTTACTATTGCTCTTCAGGGTTAAGCAACGGTTTAGAACCTTCATTTCATATGTAATGTTCGTGAAGTCTTTTTATTCATTCTTCTGCTATCACTTAAAATTGTAACATTTAGACATATAGGAAAAGTTGAAAGGCCTATTAATCAGTTCCAGTTGAAAATGAGACCTATTTAAAATGAAACACCCTGTGCAATACTTTAATTTAGAAGCTCATCCATAAAAATGTATTTTCTGTAGTCAATGAACTGCATTTAAATAGACTCAGATTTCAAAGAAACTTAGGTCTCATCTGTTTAGAATATACCTTTTCAGATCTGGAAACGGGAGAGTCCTGAAGATGAATGATTTCTTGAAGTCAAGTTCAGATTGTCACAAGGGCCTAAATCAGTATCAGGATTTTTTTCCATTTTCAGTTTTGCTTTTAATGTAAGTGCACATTTGTCCTGTACATGCTAACATGTTGGCTGATTTCTTTTTGTCAGCTGATTTTAACATGTATGTTACAGTAATAAATTAAAGGACTTCTGTTATTGTAAATTAAGTCTTTTTTTTCTTTGGTAAAATTATACCTACACATTGTCAATCAGCAAATAGCTCTATAAACCTTACTTTGAAACAATAAATTCCACCCTGTCCTCTATATCGCCCCTCCCCAGAGGCCTCCAGGCTCAACTGTTTTAGCTGGTCATTTTGTATTTATCTCTAGACCAAGTTCCTGTATTGTTCCTTAATAGTTTTTAGTTTTAGGTATTTTCTCTTGCCTTTCCATTATGGAAGGGCTTCTGTCTCCTCAGTCTTCTCGCCACACACCTCGATCTTCCCCATATTTTGTTTTTGTGGCTTCAATATCCATTGTTTGGGATTATGACTGTAAATGTTGCTCACAGCTTTGTCACGTTGGGTACTGTGATTACTTTTCCTTTCCTTATAAATCTTATTTTCCTGAATTTAAAATTTGCCCTTTTTGGGGGGTTGGGCTTGGTTTTCTATTTTATCACCAACTCCTGGTGGTGTAGCCTTCTATCAGTACGTTCAAGCACATTAGGTGTCCTAGAAAGCTCTTCTTAGTGAAGAAATCCCTTCCAGAGCCTCTGACCACGTCCAGCCTGGACTGATTGCTCACTGGACCCTCTGTCCTGCTGTCTTCTCCCCCTGCCCCTCAACAGCTCTCCTGGGGAGGGGCAGGGGGCGGTCCTTCACCTTCTGCCTGAATGGAACCCCTGCTCCCTGGAAACCATGTCTTTCTCTCAATTTGATGGATCCCTGAGAAAGGGTACGTGGTGGTGGGATGACTGTCAGACAAGACTGTTGCTGCGGAACAATGTGGACACCGTGAGCATCTGCAGTGTCTTTATTCTGCCCACACATTCAGTTGATAGTTGGTTGCGTATCGAATTCTAGACAAGGAATAACATCCCCTCAGAATTTTGAAGGCATTGTTTCACGAGCCTAGTGACACCACTGGGATGAGTTTCAAAGTTTGGGTTGTCAATCAGATTCATAAGACAGCGAGGGTACCTAGGCAACAGATACTCTAGAACGGTGTAGAACAATGCAGAGCCTCCATAATGTCGCCATTGATTCCTCTGTTCTGTTTGTCGGATAAGTTTATGTTTAAAACAAAACAAAGCTCCGTTGTGTTCACTTTAATGATTTGGGGGTAGAAAACAGGTAAATTAATATGTTCACTTCAACGTTTTTGTATTTTGTGTAACGTTTTGGCTTGAAGCATGAAATTTCTTTCCCACAGTCATTTTAAACATTTTTACTAATGTGTTTAGTATAAATAGCCACCTCTTAATATAATTAGGCATCTTTTCTTTGGGAGTAAGCCCCAAAGATATTGTGTGAGAGGGGACTATGTTCTTCTGCTAAGGGCTATTTTTAAGGCTTAATGGAGATGAGGAACACCTGAAACATACAGATTTAAAAAAAACACCTTTGGGGATAAAGGGTTAAATCTTGTTGGACTTAACTCTAGCATTTGGATGTCTTTCCATGTGTTATTTCTGATTGTATGTTTTAAAAGGCTTGAAAATAGAAACCCTTTACCAGGCTAACTGTGTACTTTGGTGCAAGTTTAACTCTCATCTCTGCTTGAATTGGTTCACTAGGTGGCTTCAGGCTTAAGGTTAATTCAGAGTCAGTTTATGAGCCCTAGGCCTGGCTGCCTCTCACCACACCTCCTGGCCATTTACCTTGGGTGCTGCCTACTGAACCCCCAGGAAGCATAATCATTTATTTTATGAACATCTTTGACAAGAACTCAAGATGTGAAAAGGAAAGTATCGGTGATGAGAGACAGCTGCAGTATTTTTTAAATCTTCTGTGACATATTTGAGTGTAGTTTCAGGACACAACAATCAAATTCATGGAATTTTAGTGATCTGTCATGATTATATACAGTGGAAATTTGTGAAGAAATGCTATCTATATCTGTTTTTACAGTGACATTTCAAACCTGTGTTTCCTATGTGATGGTAGAAATAACCCATCAGCAAAAGACTAGTGAGTATCCATCAACATGTAGCAGATTTTTTATTTTAATTTGCTGTTTAGTGTTACGGCTTTCATTTCTATAAGGATGACTGTATCCCAGCAAGTTACTGTTCTACAAACCTCCCCACCTTCCTTTGCCAAATCTTTTCGGTTTGGTCAGCTTTGTTTGTGCATCGGTGAATGGTACTGACACTCTTTATGAAAACCTGAACTCTATCTTTAGTGACAGTAAGATACATAAGCATTGCATTGAATTTTCCTGAATGTTTATTTCTAAACCCTCATAACATTTTGGGGAGGAGAAAGAAAGAAAGGAGTCCATGTTGGGACAGAAGCTCCTGGTGAATATAACACAGGGTCATTTAGGAGGGAAAGCACATGTTTTTCCAGAAGGACGTGAGCTGGGGCTTTCCTGGATACCACCTCTGTGCCCTAGTGCCCCAGCCACTCTAGATGTTAAGGCAGTTGTGTTTCTGCAGGTTTCTACCTTCAGAAATCAGGTGCTGGGAAAACTGGACAGTTACATGTAAAAGCATGAAATTAGAATTTCTTCTAACACCATATATAAAAATAAACTCAAAATGGATTAAAGATCCAAATGAAGACTGGGTGCTATGAAACTCCTAGAGAAAAACATAGGCAGGAGACTTTGACATAAATTGCAGCAATATTTTTTTGGATCTGTCTCCTAGAGTAATGGAAACAAAAGCAAAAATAAACAAATGGGACCTAATTAAACTTAAAAGCTTTTCTATAGCAAAGAAAACCATAAACAAAACGAAAGACAACCTACAGAATGGGAGAAAATATTTGCAAATGATGTGACCGACAAGGATTAATTTCCAAAATACACAGAGCTTTTACAGCTCAATATTTAAAAAACAACCCAATCAAAAAAATGGGAAGAAGACTGAAATAGACATTTCTCCAAAGAGGACTTACAGATATCTAATAGGCACATAAAAAGATGCTCAGCATTAGAGAAATGCAAATCAAAACAACAATTTTTTCACCTCCCAACAGTCAGAATGGCCATCATCAAAAGTCTACAATTAATAGATGCTGGAGAGGATGTGGAGAAAAGGGAACTCTCCTGCATTGATAGTGGGAATGTAAATTGGTACAGCCACTATGGAGAACACTATGGAAGTTCATTAAAAAAACTAAGAATAAAAGATCATATGATCCAGCAGTCCCACTCCTGGGTATGTATCTGGAAAAGACAAAAGCTAATTTGAAAAGATACATGCACCCCAGTATTCATAGTGGCACTGTTTACAATGGAAGCAATTTAAATGTCCATTAGAAGATGAATGGATAAAGATGTGTATATACACAATGGAATATTACTCAGCCATAAAAAGAAGGAAATAATGCCATTTGCAGCAACATGGATGGACCTAGAGATTATCATACTAAGTGAAGTCAGAGAATGACAAATATATATTATTTATATGTGAAATCTAAAGAATGGTGCAAATGAACTTATTTACAAAACAGAAGTAGAC